TAAAAGCGACGAACAACCCACGGGGGGCCACCCGCCATTTCTTATTGCCTTATCTTGTGACGTCTGGAGGGGATTGTGCAAGAAGCCATCGCCGCCCTCGTCTATTGTATCCCCATGGAATTTTGGATGTTAGTCCTCCGGTAGATACCTGGATATTAAGGTCATCGGATAGTGCTTTTGCGGGGTAAGCTCTCGATGTAAAAAGTCGATTTTCAAAGCTTTTTTCAAAGCGTCGAAATCGCAATCACTCCAGGCTTAAAAAGCGGTTTTCCGATTTTACGTCATTTACGTTCATCATCAAAATACCCACAGATATCCCTACGCTTTTCAGACTATAGATAGCAAAATTTTAAAGGAGCTTGCAAGCGGGGAAGCCATTTTGATACGTTTGCTATTTTAGGGAGCCTGTATCATACTGTAGTAGGATTTTAATTAGCTTACAATCCAACTTCCGAACTACGATGGAACGCTACAAAAGCTTTTTATGTACTGTATTCCGTGCCATCTCCTACATTTTAGGCGCTTAAAAAAGTAGGAAAATCGTTCTGTAATACCCGATCCAAAAATCGAAATATTGCGTTTCCCTCGCATCGTATCCGGGTTTAAACGGGGCTTGGAAGCCAGAAACCTCGAGGTTGCTTCGGAAAGTGGATTTTTTCCAGATTCATAAAATACCGTAGTCCGGTTTTAAAGGGACTATGAAGTTGTAATTTCTCAAGACCGTAACCTTCCGGTAAAAAAACGGAAGTTTTGGGTTTTTGATAGCATGGAAGGAAGGCCCAAAACCTAGCTGTAAGAGCTTATAGGCCACTATAATCGGGCTTTAACACGACAGGGAAATCACCGGAAGCGGACCTAAAAGCTTCACAAAACATTAAAAACTACTTTAAGCTTTCGGCTACCGTATTCAGACTTCAAAAGCACCGGCAAAGCACCCAGCCGGAAAACAAGCCCAGCCCGATGCCATTTGAAGTGATCAGTTGCCCTCTCTCTCGATCTCTCTCTCACTCTCCTCTCCCTCTCTCTCACCACTCTCCATTTGCAACAATGGCACCGTGGCGAACAAGGGAACCCAATTTTTCACAAGGCTTCCCCCCTTTCGACGCCTTATCCCCCCAGGGGGCACAGCTGCTGCCTCTGCCATTGGCTGTGAGAATTTGCATTCCCCATTTGTCATGATCGCACCCCAACATCCCAAGGAGGCCGAGGAGGAAGGGCAAAAAACGGCTGCTTCTGGGGCGGGAGCAAAAAGTGGTCAGAAAACTTCGGTCTAAAAAACTTAAATGGTCTCTGCTAGCCTGCCAGGAAAAACGTAAATTTCTCGTGGGAAAATGAGCAGACAGCATCCATCCTCAAAAATTTCTGCTAGCCTACCCTTGCCAAAGAATCTTTGCGAGCCTGCTATTACTAAAGAATCTCTACTAGCCTGTCCTTTCCCAAAAAATCTCTGCTAGTCTGCCCTTTCCTAAAAAATCACTGCTAGACTGCACTCTCCTAAACAATCTCTGTTAATTCCTAATTTCGGCAAGGCTCTCTGCTAGTCTGCGCTTCATTCAGTAGTAAACGGGGCAAATCAAATTTTCCCGAATGATCTCTGCTAGCATGCCATTCAACGGGTTTCCATGTGTGAAAAATCCATGCTAGTCGAAAACCCAGCGAAAAATGCGAGCATCATCACGCCACTTGCCTGCCAAAAATTCCCCCAAGAATCACCGCTAGCCGGCCCAGTAAATCAACAAGCGGAGAGCAGTAGCAACAACAGCTTCTGCCCCATCCACCGCCAGTAAATTCGACCCCCCGCACAGCAGAGCTCAATCTTCATCCCCTAAAAACCGGAGACCCCGGTTCAGCGAGACCGTTTGTTCCGGCTTTACCAACTCACATCCATCGCCACCGATCCCTATCACAGCCCCTAGGAGGGTGAAAAAGCTGATCCCAACTCGCGGCCCAGCCTATCGGCGATGCCATTAATTCCCAAGGTCTCGTTGAGGGCACACACAGCACCTCATCTCCAATGGCATTGTAATGGCCCCCCATCCAATCCTATCGACGGACAAAACGGAAAGCGGAAAACAGTCGTTGGAGGCGCTGGGGTGGAGATTTATGCCCCAACCTGGCCCTTTTTCCGAGACAGGCCGAATTCCGGTCGATGGTCACCTTTTAGCAATATTTATTGCGGTTCTGTCGTTTCGGCGAGCGCCCTGTAATTTGATCGGTGGTGTGATGATGCTAAAAACGTAAGCAATCGCCTTTTTTCCGGGCGTGCTAGATTATTTTCCCGCAAAAACTGGCTCCATGGATTACAAAGAGACACGGTTCTTTTGCATTATCGGGGGGGGTGGACGCAAATTTTTTTCTTACGTTCTCAGTTTTTAAATAGCGAGTGTTTCTACTTTACAAATTTTTATGGAAAAAAATACAAAAATATAGTATGAAAATACAGTCGACCAAAACTTCCACTTTGCATGCAATTTTTTTGAAAGTTTTCGATAGTTTTGTCAGTTGAAATACAGGTTATATTCTAACAAAAACGCTATTAAAATACTTCTTATTGAGTTACTAGGCAATTCTAAACTTATACCAAAAAATTTCGGACATGCCTGAAAATTAAGTATTTCGGAAATTAATAGGCTCATTGAAAATCGGGCTAGATACCTTTCTTTCATATTTTTAAAGTCTACTTTCACGATTTAGAAAACCGAAAACAAAAATCCGAAAAATGGTCAGAAAACCAAAATTATATTAGTGGTCGAATCCCTGGCTTAAAAACAGATTACGCCATATAAATCAGCTAAAGACAGATTTCTGGACAATCGCAGCTTCCTTGAAAAATCAGAGAAACCAAGCAAGACCCTGGGAATACCGTGGACTTGGCCGGGCTGCGGTCCCACCCCCTCGCTCTAGATGGGCTTTTTATGAGCGACACGGGGCCCATAGAGTGCTCTAGCCCACAGCGAGCCGCTTTCACCGAAAAAAATCGCCCCGTTCCGACAGACAACATCAACAAATGGCATTTTAACGATGGGCTGGGCATGCCGTGGCCCGTTCGCATGGGTCGAGACGGAGAGCGAAGAGCGCGCTGGAAGGAGCCGCGCCGGTTGGCACCGAGTGCCAGATGCCAACACTCGGCTAGATCGGAACGTTTAGTGGTCGAAAATGATACTTTACGTTTTACCGGGCGCCTAACTTTTAAATGAAGCTATCAAGGCTTTAAAAATCTTTATTCTACTAACAGATCCAAGAGTTTTATCCGAGGAAACCTAATTTTTTTTCCCTGTATCTCCAAACTTCCAACTAATGCAGTAATAATTGTTTTAATAGTATTGCTAGTAAAATTTAACGCAACTGCAAGTGAAAAACCATGTAAAAACCTAAAAAATTTGAAATTTAAGGCGAAAATTGATATTTTTATGACAAAACCAAGGTTTTATTCTATTCATCTATGCGTTGTAGGCTAACTGAACGTAACTGTTATCTAACGTATCTAACGCATAGCCAAAGCGCAGTAAAAACCTGTAAAGAATAACGACTACACGAAACACCTCTGAATGCCCCGCAAAAGATACACATGCGGCCAATTAACAAAAAGACCGGGTAGTGGGGGGCCCCTGACTCACGGCTACCAAAAAACCAAAGTGGGTGATTGCCCCGAGATTCATAGCAGACGGTTCACGCGTTTGGATGGGCTGAGCAAGAGCCTGAGGAGCTTGAAAAACGTTATCTAAACGTGGATTACTAGCGTCAATCTGTTCTTTCGCATTATCGGGGGTACGAAAAACAGAGCAACAAGCCTTTTTCCTGAATTCGGAGCTCCAAAACCTGCTAAATCACCTAAAAGTACCTGAAATTCCTTGGCTCCATTCTTTCGGCCCGATCTTTCACACCAAAGACTTTGACCCGATTTCCAGTTTAGTGTTGGAGCAACAACCAAGTAATTTCCAGCGGTGCCCTTCATCTCGAGCAGGAAGTTTGGCACTTTCCTCGCATGACTCGACCCGCCTGATAAAACTCCGAAGCCAGGCGCGAGCCCCAGAAAAAAAAGTGGCAAAGCACCGCAAACTTGTGCAATAACCTGACCGCCGGGGTGGCTGCTCCCTGCTCGTGATCCTTGTTTTCACACGTTAGGCGTGAAACGGCCGCCGGGCCGCGATAAGTGAAACGCGCATGTTTTACGAGCGCGCCAGCCAATCGTTTTTGGGCGTAATCAGATCCATCCAACGGCCAGGGCTCGGCGCCCGGCTGCAATGTTTATTTTCACGGTTTCTCGAAACGAGCGAGATGTGCAGCGACGCGATGACGGGAAAATGCGAAAATACCGATAGTCAAAATTCCGGCATTCAAAAACCCGACAACCAAAATACCGACAGCGGAGACCCCGGACTTACTACGTTTGTCGGGTCGAGCTTTTCGTCTATCTAGATTTCGACTTGTCGCTATTTTGGATGTCGGGATTCTGTTTGTCGAGATTTTGGCTAGCAGCCATGTTCACTGCTGCCAGTCCGAATCTAACACCCAATTTGGACATATGGCCGTTATTATGGCCTATCAGGGCCTCGGTAACCTGGATTTTGGTTGTCGGTATTATGACCTGTCGGGATTCTAGTCATAGCGCGACAACTCAGAGGCGTTAAAATTCCTTTATGCTAAAAGTTCCGGGCCAATTTTGGCATCCGAATGATATAAACGAACGTTAAATGGGGGCAGATGTGGGCCGCGTATGAACCGGGAAAGTTGACTTGATGTGAATTCGGGAGGCGGCTAGACGATGCGAGGCAATCAGGGCACAAGCAAGGAGGAGGAATGGTCGACCGGTATCGGGGGGGTAGAAAGATAGAGAGAGAGAGGGGGTGATGAGTGGGGGCAAGAGTTACGTAGGAATATTGCCGCCTTGCTAAATTAGGTGAGCTGCGAGTACCCGAGAGAAAAAATATAGGCGGTATGTGGATGGGTGGTCGGGGGAGAATAAACGAAGAGCCGAGAAATTGATGATCGAGGGTTCAGGCTTCGGTGGTGTCCATGGTTTCGTCGTCGAGGTCATTCTCCTTGTTATCATCGTCGTTGGTGGGGTCGAGGCCTCCGTAGGGCAGCAGCCAAGGATGGGCGAGACACTGGCGAGCCGTGGCCCGCTCTTCGCCTGCGTACGCCAACATCGGCGTCAGGAACGAGGTCAACTGGCGAGCCTGAAAAAGCGTTAATTTCATAATGCAACTTTAATAATATCGAATCGTTATAATGCGGAAATGGCATAATAACCTATCCTAAAAGCCAAGGAGTTAGTTTTCGCAGTTTCATAAAGCCGAATATGTACGAGGTAAAATTTCATAATGCCTAATCGTCATAACCTGATTTTCGTCAATCAATCCAATAGTAAGCTCGACTTCAAAAATATACCTCCTTGAAGGGCCAGTTGTATTTGCCCACCAGCACATCGATCAAGCTCCACGGCTTCAACGTGGATATGTGTTGAAGTTTTCCTTGCTAAATTAAAAAAATTGGCTTTAGAGAAAGAAAATACCCGATTGAAAAATTCTTTCCAGTGCTTGCCGCGCTTGTAGACGTTCGGCGGGATGGCGCCGAGCAGCTCGATGATGTGGGCGATGTGGTCCTCGTCACGATTGTAGGCGGGACCACCGTGCGGCTCGAACAAGTAGTCGCCGGTCGCCAGTTCGAAGATCTAAAAAAGCAATTCAATTACAAAGAAATATAGCTTTCTAAGCCTTAAAAGTTTTAAAACCAAACGCACCATGCAGGCCATGCTCCAAATGTCGGCTGATGTGTCGTAACCCGCCCCCAAGAGGACTTCTAGCGAACTAAATGGCAAAATTAGAAAAAACTTTTCAGAGTTCATCTACCGATACTGGCGGGTCTGGATCTCCTCGGTAAAGTGTTGCGTGACCCAGCAGGCATTGCCGAGATCAGCAATCTAAAACGATATTAATTATTTCCCACAAAGTGCCCAAACCTTCACATCTATCATCGAGTAGCCGTCGAGGGATTTTGGGCCGAACGAGGGCTCCTCAAATTTGGGTTGCTCGCCGGCGGCAAGGAGCTCCTGTGCGCGCTTCAATGTAGGGATGACACCTAAATCAAGGTTTCAAGTGTAGATAAAAACTTTTAAGCACATTACAAATATCCAAAAAGTCATAAATAAATGAAAAACACCTACCGGTGGGGACGCCAACAAGGTCAATCGACGAGTCCTCGTCCATGGCCGTAGAATTGGAGCTCAGTGAGCCGGGCCCCTTCTTTTTCGTCTTGCGCTGCTTCTTCTTCTTCTGATTTTTGGTCAACGGCTTTGGGTTGATGGCCTGGAGAAAAAAAAATTAGAATGTAAAAACAAAGATGCATAAAAATACCTCGTGCACCGCGCGCGCCGACAAGAAGGAGTTGCTCAGCGGTAGCCCCAGCTTTGCCGAGATCACGGCATGTTCGGCGATATCGTTGATCTAAACGATTTATTTTTACGATTTTTACACGATTTATATTTAACTTTTTTTGATGTTTTTCAAAAATGAAACTCACTTCTTGTTGGGTCATTGTGACGAGTACGTTTTCGGGTTTTATATCCGTGTGGATGATTTGGCATTTCTCGTGCAAGTAGGCGAGACCTTCGAGCATCTGAAACAGAAATAAGATGGCAAAAATCTTTCAAACCTGTTTACTGATATGGCGGACCATTTCGAGGGGAAGACCGTGATAATCGCTCAGCTTGATCATCTTCAGCAGGTTACAACCGAGCACCTAAGTCCCGAAGTAGTGTAAAAATACGAAACTTTCTATACCTCAAAAACCATGCACACGTGCGAGCCGTGCGGGCCGGAAACGTTGAAGCTGTCCAACAATTGAACCACACGCTTCCCAAACTCGTCGTCAGGGTCAGAGGTGCGGACAGCTTGCAAAATCTAAAAAAGAAGATACAAAACAAAGGAAGGAACACACCTTTGACTCGTCGAGAGCCGCCTCGGAATAATGATCGGCCGACTTGACGACCTTGATGGCCACATAGCGAGTATCCGTCGTGTCCCAGCACAGCCATACGGTAGAGAAATGACCCCATCCGAGCTTGCGCAGCACGTGGTATCTAAAAAAATAAAAGAATTTAATGGTAGCAATCAAATACCTATTTTGAAAAACATCGCCAATGTTCACGGGATGGTATCCGCCAACTTTGTAGTCATGCACAGATTCTTGGTCCGAGTCTCCGTCATCGTCGTCGACTCCTTCCTATAAAGATTGTAACTAGCCTAAAGCCAAAATAATACCGATTTTTGCAACGATGTTAACGAGGCTCCCCGGCTCTGGGAAACGTAGGGCGAGTCGTTTAGCACGATGACGTCATCCTCGCGGATCTCCGGCTTCGTAACTGGTCGTTCGATCACATCAACTTCATCCGATTCCGCCGGGCTCGGGGCTGGGTCCGGTTTTGGATCTTCCTAAAAAAACCGATTTTAGCCTGAATATTTTTCCACACCTTTCGAACGGCAGGTTTGGCAGCAGCCTTGATCACTCTCTTCTTGGCCTTTGCCCCTCGAGCCATTATCTGAAAAAAGAATATATTTATAGATAACTGTAACAGAAAGAGCTGCAGGGAAAACAAGAACAGAACAATATGTACAACGATATAACGTTTAAAAACTAGGGATTGTAACGCTGCGCATCCGAATCACTTCTCCTCCGGCCAGGACGAAATTCCACACCTACGGAACCCCGAAACTTTTCATCCTTCTGCGATCGCTGCTCGGTCATGCGATTTTCGGAGGCCTATCAATAGGTCTTCGAGCCCGACCGAATATTTTGCCGAGATAAAATGCATTGGCAAATCAGGCAGATCCGAAAATTCCTTTCGTACTGTCTTTTCATCAAAATCTCGCGGAGCCAGATCGATCTTATTGATCACCACCGTCGTTTGCTTTTGGGCTAGCTCCTCGTCAAATTGAGATATCTCGTAACGCAGCGCATCAAATTGCGCGCGCCAATCTCCCAGCGTGTAATCGAGCACGAAGAATAGGGCGTGGCATCGCTGAATATGCTTCAGAAACTCGAAGCCAAGCCCTTCGTTTTTATGAGCGTTCTCGATCAAACCGGGCACATCTGCGACGGGAATTTGCACGAAATCGTCGTATTCCACGATGCCGACGTAGGGCTTGAGAGTGGTGAAGGGATACGAAGCCACCGTCGGTTTTGCTCGAGAAATGGCTCGTAGCAACGAACTTTTCCCAGCATTCGGATAGCCAATCAGACCCGCGGACGCTATGACGCTCATCTCGATATCGTAGACCACCTCTTCGCCAGGACCGCCTTGCTCGGCTTTCAGCGGTTTTCGCACTTGATTAGATACGTAGAATTGGTTGCCTCTGCCGCCACCACCTCCGCGAGCACCGATAAAGATTTCTTGGTCTTGGCGTAGGGTAAACAGCTTCGCGTCGGCAATGTTGCGAAAGACGGTACCTACAGGTACACCGACAGTTTTGTGATCTGCCGATTTCCCATGGCTCGATCTTGGCTGTCCAGCAGCGCCGCTAGCTGCACGCAGCACGGGTGGTAGGCGCGACAAGTCGATTATTTTCTTGTTGGCTTGAAAAACGACATGGCCGCCATTGCCTCCGTCACCACCGTCTGGGCCGCCGAAGGGCATCCGAAAGGCGCGCATGAACGAGATCATCCCATTGCCGCCAGCGCCCGCTTTGCACCGCACACGCTTGTAGTCGACGAACGGGCGGGCTTCGGTTTCGCTCTTTTGCTTCTGGGGAAGAATTGGCCGGCATTCCGTTGATGAATGGCAGCAACTCGGGCGTGCAACGGGGCGGAGACTTGATATCCGGGCCGAGAGAAGCATCAGGGTCTAAGAATAAAATTTAGAATTGAGAAATGATAAAATAAAAGGTGAGGAAAGAAATTTTTAATAAAGCATGCTTTAGGTGAAGCTATTGAAAACAGCAAAAACATACAAATTTCAAAAAAAGGAAATGACTGGCTTTGAATTGCCGCAGATTCCGCGAGAGAACTACCGACCGGACTTTTCGCGCGCTGTAAACATTTCAGCCCGGATTTTCGAACGTAAAGGATCCGGGTTTTGAAAAAGAATTATAATCTTCTCGTATCAAGGTTATATAATTTTTTATAGATCCTTGCTCGGTAAAATGGCGAGATCTCCGTCCAGTTCAAGCTCCAGCTCGGCCTCTTCCGATGACTCGAAGCCCCTCTTCCCAGCCGATGGCAAAAGGTTTGTCTTGCTTGTTTTTCTAAACTCATTTTAGAGCCTCCAGCAAATCTCGTTCTCCAAGCCGAACCTCTGATCGGAGCAGCAAGTCGAGGTGAGAGCTTTGGGGCTGCGTTGATAACTTTGTTTAGAAGCAAGTCTCCGGTCAAGCGACGGAGAAGCCGAAGCGGATCTCGGGATCCACCAGCAAGATATTCTTCAAGACCAGTGAAAAGGTGAGTAAATTTGCTTTTAGAGAGCGCGAGGGTGAAATTGCTTGTCAAAAAAATATTCACAATTTAGGAGCCGTTCTCCGATTCAAGACCGTAGGCGTAAGCGCTCTACTTCTGTCAAGAAAGAGAGGAGCCCGAGCCCAGTGAAGAGAAGGAGCCCCAGCCCTACGAGGAGGAGAAGCCCCCCACGGAGACGCGAACGCTCAACTTCTGCGAAAAAGGAAAGGAGCTCGAGCCCGGTGAAGAGGAGGAGCCCCAGCCCCTCGAGGAGGAGAAGCCCTCCCAGAAGACGTCAGCGTAGCAGAAGCAACGATCGGGGACCACCTCCTCGTGATCGTGATCGCCGCCGGTGAGTAGTCTAACAGCCGAGACGCTTTATTATTTTATGTTTCAAAATCTCCTTTTTCAGCTCACGCTCACCGCCTCCTCGACGTGGTGACAGCCCTCCATGGAAGTCGGAAAAAAGGTCAACCAGGCGACGATCGCGCTCCGGAAGCCCCGAGGATGATGACGACAAGAGAAAGCGTGGCGAATCGGAGTGGAAAATCAAAGAGGACCAGAAATGGAAAAAGTTGGAAATCTTTTTTGTCTCTGATTTCAATTTTTCTTAGGCGCAGAGACCACCGTGAAGCGATCGCCGAGGAGGGTGTGCAAAAGGTGTGGGGAATGTCGCCGACCCACGACGATATTCAGCACGTCTACGTTTTGTAAGTTATTAATTTCTGATTATAGAAATATTTTGTAAACCTCCGCGTTAGCGATACCCAGTCACTTGTATTTTCATTTGATTGGCACAAATCAACGCAAAACCAAGAAAAATAGCCGTAACACATTGCCAGGCGGGATCGCCAGGCTCTTATACAGGCTGTACAATTATTTTAATTCTATTAAATATTTTATGTCATTTTTGGAGGGACTTGAATGGTATCTCCTTTTTTCAGGCTAGAAGAAACTGAGCGGATGCGGGAAGAGGAGACGAAGAAATTCGAGAAGCAGCAAAAGGAGCGTGACAGGGAGCGCAAGGAAAAGATGAAAGCAGAAGGTACACCATTTTTCCAAATTCATCTTTGCCTCAGGATTCAACGTGTCGGACAGTGGCAGCGACGACGATGACTCAACCGATTCGGAGGAAGAGAAAAAGAAAAGAAAAAGAAGGCGAAGAAACAGAAGAAGGAAAAGAAGGCCAAAAAGGACAAGAAGAAGAAGGCCAAGAAGCGCAAGGCAGATTCTGATTCCGGTAAGGTTTTTTGAGGTTTGACGACCTCTGCTTTAGATGATGACAAGAAGAAAGACAAAAAGAAGAAGAAGAAAAAGAAGCGCGAGGCCGAGGAAGTGGTAACTTATTTCTCACATAAAAATACTGTATGTTCAGGAGTACGTGCCCAAATCCGAATCTGAAGAGGAAATGGCCGGTCCGGCAATTCCGCAGGACATCATCGACAGCGACAAGGCGTACCACGACATTGAGCGGCAATTGAAACAGTACGTTTTCGTTTTGGGTTTTTATACCTTTGTTTAGAAGCAAAGACATGCTTCGTGGTGAAGCCGCGGCGATGGCGGCTTACGTGGCTCGCGGTGAGCGGATTCCGCGTCGAGGCGAGATTGGGTTGAGCAGCAACGAGATTTCGTACTTTGAGCGGGTAAGGAACTATACCGTATTTCCGCTAATTTTAAGGTTTATCCGCTAGTCAAGTTTTTTGTTTAGCGCGTTTCGATTAAATCGTATTTTCAGGCTGGCTATGTGATGTCGGGTACTCGCCACAAAGCGATGGAAGCGACGCGGTTGCGCAAGGAAAACCAGGTAATACTTGCTTTCTAGCTTTTTTAAAACGTGAATTCCTAGGTCCTAACCGCCGACGAGAAGCGCCTGCTCAGCGGCTTCTCCCAGGAAGAGCGTCGCAAGAAGGAGGAGGCCGTCATGTCCCAATTCCGGCAACTCATCGACGCCAATCGCAAATAGTGGATCTGTTTTTTGTTGTCTTGTTTTCACTTTATTCATGGTTGTTTGTATTTGGGGACCGGGTCCCTCATAAACAGAAAATACACACAAAAACGGGTAGCCATTTATTGTAATCAAAGCGTATCTGACATTTTTCAATATTCGTTCAATACGTAAAAGAAGTGAATCTGGGACGGGTGATATGAAAGCTTCGGGCAATTATTCCTTCTCCTTCTTCTCATCGTCACCGCCACCTTCGGCCTCACCGCCGCCACCCCCGCCGGCGTTCTTCGCGTCAAACAGCTGATCGGGCGAGATCAGACCTGATGAGATCTGAAAAGCGTTCCTTCTTCCTTATTTTTGATGTTTTGATACTTCCGGGTTAGCTTATGTAGAAGTCCTAGTAGAAGTTAATAATAAACTAATATAAAAATCCACTATATTTTAGGTTTTGAGCCTTACCAGCTAAAGGCGGTAAGGTAAAAATTCTTGAGACTAACCGCCGACTTGACGACAAGATTGCCCAGGGCCTGGTAGTGGTCGTAGTGGATGACGGCGCCGTAGCGATGGCGGCGCACCATCTCGACGGTGGTGCGCAGGCCGACGAGCTTCTTCTCGCTGAGCCGCGACAGCACAATGTCCAGCGCGCAAAACGTGCCGGCTCGGTGGACGCCGGAAGGGCAAACGACCTGAAAGGGCACGATTTCAAGCCGTAACAGACTTTTTAGGTATTTGGTCATCTTGAAAGAAAATGGGAAGGTATGACTCGAAAAAGGACTTTTCAAGCTATTATAATTGCAAGAATGTATAAGTAAATTACCATCACAGGCCCGCAAATCTCCTTCTTCTTGAGGGCTTCTTTCTCGGCGCGAGCTTGTTGCACGAGCACCTGAAATTGAGCCATAGTTACCTTAGAGCTTGTCCCGACGTGAGCACGGAGCTCGAGCAGCGCGTCCGGCACCTTCGAGTCGGTTGGCCACTTGCGGAAGTTGATGAGGGTGGTTTTGAAAATCTAAAAAACCAAAATTTCCGATCCCGAAGCTGTAGCTCACATCGGCAGCCTTTGCCTTTTTCTCCTTGACCTGGATCGTGTACCGCCGAGTTTCCAAGTCCTAAAAGGTTTATTAATAGCATTTTTTAGCTTGAATTTTACCTGATCCGCTTCGGGCACCGAGACGATCAGCCTCCCGTCGCACAGCTTCATCTTGTCGTCCTTCTTCGGCCAGAAGCGCTCGTCCACCGTGCCGTTGCTTTGCTTCTTTTGCTTGTCTTTCTAGAATCAAAAGGTAGAGATATCAACGTTCAGTACATCTCCGCCGGTGTCGACGAGCACGAGGATGATGCACGGGCGATGGCTGTACACCATACGCCAAAAGTCTTGCGTCGTCTGTGTGTCGAACGGCGCCTGGGCCAAGATGTAGCCGTCTGAAGCAAATATGAGCTTATTAACCGTTATTAAAACTTTAAAACTCTAAAAATTATAAAGCCTACTCTTTTTAGTGTAGCTGTCGAGCCAGCTGGCGTGGTAGTAGTCGTCGTCGGCGAAATCGTCCTCCACGAGCACGCGCGAATGGTCGTAGAGCAGGATGTTAGCATGGCGGTTCTAAAATTGAGCTATTTTATAGAACAAACGATAGGAAAAAGTTTTAAAATACTGTTATAGTTATTTTCAGAAACCACAAACCTTGGCCACGTTGTTATCATCCAAAAAGGCGTCCACCGATGGGGGCTCCTTGATGAAGTCGTTGTACCACTCCATCACTGCCTGAAAAAGGATTTTTCGAACTATTTGAAGCTTTTAACCTCTAAATAGAGGCTTCTAAAGCTCACCTTGCCCTTAGAATCGACAATCTGCTGCAGGAATTCTTCGGGTGCGGGCCCGGAGAGGTCATGTTTCTTTTTATCTAAAAAAAATATTTTAAAAGCTTTAGAAAATCATAAAAACCAACCTTCTGGTGTCCCAGCCATCGATAAATGTATTTTTCAGATTCTCCACTTCCGCCCACAGCTCCAGATTCAAATTTTTGGACCCATATTTCGAGATTCAAGGCTCTAACGTAAATTTACGCTTTCAAAAAGCCCTAAAAAGCCAGTTACCCAAAGAATCCCTGCTAGCTCGCCTTTTTCAATAAAAACGTAAATAGATTTGTCGATAACGACCATTTTGCTGTATTTGCGGATGCCGACATTGTTTGAACAGCCGATTGTCTTTTCATATACATCTCCCACCCCAATGTAACCCCGATTTTTTTCAAACAATGCCCCATATTTCAGCAAAATCACTCGTCGTACTTTTCGCGTTTGTTGTTTGTATTGTTAGTAAGTTATTTTGACAAGTTTTAAACATTTTAAAGGCGATGCGAAGCGTAGTTTTACGCATACATCGAAATGGCGGGATTTCTAACGCTTTATACTTCCCAAGCGTCAGAAATGGACTTTCGTTAAGAGACATTTTTAAAATTTAGCAAGTTTTAGGCATTTCAATAGTATTCCAAAGCTTCGTTTTACCCTTACCTCGAAATTTATCGAAATATCAAAGTAATTTTCAGTGCTTTATACTTTGAAAAAAGGTTAAAGGTTGAGCTACAGCGCGAGAAACTTTTAGCAAGTTTTGGAACGTTAAAAAAATTCTATAAAACTTATCTGTCAGCGACGAAATAGTGTAATTTTAGCGCTTGCCCCCTTGATAGAGTTCCACGCTTCTGTTTTTCAGGTATTTATCTTGTCTTCAATTCGAGCTGCAGCTCAGAAGCTTCTGCTCAAGGGCCGATTCTGGAAGACGATCGGATACCGCCATTGCCTAGACCGGAAGTGCCAGGTTTGCAAAATCAAGGCCACAACGTCAAGCGAGCGGCTGCCAAGGTCAAGAAGGGCGCAGAATGCGGGATTGGCGGTAAGTCCGAACAGGGCAAGCTAGCAGAGGTTTTTAGACCTAACTAGAAAAGGGGTATCGTTTTACAGGAGGTCTTTATAGCGTTTTTAGATAGTTTTTGAATTTTAAAAAGCCATGAAGAATGTTAGAGACTTTCAAATTTGGGAATTTTTGACCAAAAATGAATTTTTACGAACTTTCGATGCTTCAGAAGTCCTAAAAAGCGCGAAAATGCTTTGTATTTGATCATTGGCGTCCCACCGGCCTCATAGGCCAAAATCAGCCCCCCTCCGCTAAGTGATTAGCGCCAAAATAGCTAGGAAAACCCTGTTTACGTATCATTTCCAGTGCGTCTGGCCGGGAAACAATGCCCGGCGGGGTCGGTGCCCTTCGGCAGCGAGTGCTATGTGCAGGCTTGTTTAGAGGTTAGCCATTTTTCATTGTTTCTCACTATTCTCTTTCCCTCAATCGTTTCCATACCTTTTCCAGGAACTGATAGCCTCACGCAAGCGACCAAAAGCCATCGAAACCGTGCGACCAATTTACTAAAGAAAAGTGTATAAAGATTTGATACAACCTATGACATACAATATATGAGAGAATACAACAGTTTTGTACTCTATTTTCGATATTTTACATAGATTTCCGATCACTTTATGTCAAGATTTTATGAAAAAAACCCGAAAAACGCCCGATTTAAGGGATTTTAAGTTGGTTTCAACGTTATTATATGGCTTTAAATGTTAGTTTTGCTCAATTTAGGTAAAGATACAGTAATGGCAAATAGTGTATGGCAATTTAGAGCACTTTATGGCAGTTTTAAGTTATTTTGGATCCTTTTAAAGTTATTTCCGGACTAATTTGGTTAAGATTTAACGATAGAAAACTGCGTAAATCAATTTAATAAATTTTACGAAGATGTTCTACTCGAATTTCCATAGTTTAGCCGGTTGTGTTTAGCCTGTAAAAAGGAAAGTTACATTTTCTCGATTTTCCGCCAGTTTCCAAAACCCTGTTTTGCAAGGAAAACTCCAGAACAATCCAAATGACGAAATCACAACGAAAAAAGAAAGAACGAGACGGCCTTGAGGGCTGAACTTTTGGTTCTTCCCCACTTTCATCCGGTCACGTGTCTGATTATCTTCCAAAGCCCAAAAGATCAGACAGGAACGCGCCCAGCGCTCGCGCGCCCACTCGTCAGTGCATCTTTTTTTTTGGATTGGAAATTACTCTCCACTTGAAATCGCATAAAAAGAGGGAAAACATGCTATTTTTGGTGTGGGACCTACAGGTACACAACTGTGGTAATCGGACGGTGATTAGTCCCTTTGAAAATAAACAAACAAGTTAGCGCGTTGACCATGTAGTGTTGAGGGGAATTTGGCAAGGAATCAGAGGTTTTTGAAGGGCCCTAAATGATCTCCGCTAGCTTGCCTCTGGCCTAGGCTTAGGCTTGGACCTAGGCTTACGCTGATGCTTGGTGTAAACTTAGGCTTGACTTAGATTCCAAGCCAGTCGGTCGTTACCTTCAACAACATTATAAACTCTAAACTCTAACAATCCAAGGGTTCAACCCACCACAATGCCAACCTCCCAAAAAGCCCATCTTCCCCCAAAACCAGCCCCTCGACCGCAAAACGCGTCACAAACTACATCACCCCGCCCGCTGCAGCCCGGGATGACATTTCCGCATTAACGACCTCGCGACTACGGTAGCTAGAGCTATTTTTAAAAGGTGTCATCTTTGGAAGCGGAGCCTCACGTAGCCGCTGTGTAGATGGTGGGCAGAACAAGGCCGCGCACACAGCACACACAGACTAGAAATCGTTTGGAGTGCACAGTTTCGATGATATCAACAGTTTTCTTTTGGAAAGAGCACCCGTCTTTCAGAGTTTCCCGCGTTCTTTCAAGATTGAGAAAGAAAGCTACAAAAAATTGTGGGTTTGTAAAAACTATTTTCTCTATCTTAAAATTTGGGAAAAACTGTCAAAATATACCAAAAAGTTGGGATAAACATAGGCCTGAGCCTAAGCTGAACCAAAGCCTCAGCCTAAGCTTAAACGGCTAAGCAAAGCCTAAGCCCAAGCCTAAGCAAAGTCTAAGTCTGAGCCCAAGCCTAAGCCTAAGCACAGCGTAAGCCTTAGCTTAAGCCTAACCTGCAATTCAATGGATCAAATTTTCTTTTTAGCAACGTGTTATGTAAAGCTATGACTCGCTAGCGCGCCTATGAAAGTCTAAAACGAGCAACTTGCCCACGGCCAGGCAAGGCAAGCCAGCAGAGATCCTTGGGGGAAATTGAAAAACTTCCGCGATGCTCCAATGTACCCCTGGCTCCAAAGAACACCCAAGAACACCTTGTCAATACGGTGCAATGCGTAGTTTCTGGTCCCCAGCCAGCACCCATTGTGCAGCAGTACCCGTTTTTAGCGCACTAATTGGATCATTTCGACATACAGTTTAGAGGGTGGAGCCGGTGGGCGGAGCTTGGCTACGGTATAAATGGGTGCATGATAGCTGGGGAGGGCAACAAACAACCAATCTCTCAATTCGGAACTATGAGATCATCGCTGCTGCTCTGTCTTGTTTCCCTCATCGTGGGAGCTGTTTTTGCTGGACGGGCGCCAAGGGTGAGTCAGTTTACCTTTCAAAATGTCATAAAAACGAGCGCTTTGCACGAAATTTACTTCCTAAAGAATCCCTGCTAGCTTGCCCTAAAAACCTCATGAAAACTAGCTTTTTACACTAAATTTTATTCCTGAGGGTTCTCCGCTAGCTTGCCTCGCGAAAATCCTCAAGGCTTTCGGCTATCTGGCTTTAGAGCCAATCCTAAAGAGTCTCTGCTAGTTTGCCCAAATTTAAGTAAAATCTAATTTTTCAGGAACGTCGTCAAATGCCCTCCGCTTTCTACTACGGCGCTGGAGGGAACGCCATCGGAGCGTACACTCCCGTAGGCCTGGCCTATAACCCGCTACGCATCGCTCCGCTGACGAATTGGGGACGGAAGAGGAGGAGTGTCGAGTAAGTCTTTTACTCTCTCTCTCTCTCTCTCTCTATCTCTCTCTCCCTCTCTCTCTCTCTCTTTCCGTCCCTTTCGAGCCCCTTTAAAACGCTTCGAAAATCCGTATTTAGGACTGACCGTAGCCGCAGGAGCCCAGCCAGCTACAGCGGGGTTGGGAGCGAAATGGTCGAGAGGGTGGCGGCACTCAGCAATTGGGGCCGAAAGAGGAGGAGCGTAGTACGGTAGGTGGTGCATTTTTTAAGGGTTTAAAGGGACAGGGAAGACATAAATAATTCTAGAAATTTACACAAAATACGGCGGATGTTAATGATATCATTGTAAAATTCTGGCAACTTAAAAATATTATTGATATCGAAAATGAACGATTTTAACATATTTCCGCTAGTCACCAAATTACGCGGATATTAAAAATAAGCATTTTTAAACCGTCGAAAACCAGCTTTTTTCCACAGTAATCGATTTACCGATCCATAGTATCCTCTCGGAACCCGATAGATCACTTTAAAAAAAATCTAAAAATCCACATCCAATTTCGTTCTAAATTTCTAAGAAAATCGGAAGCGAATAGAATCGCGGCGTTCCGAGCGCTCTTTCGCACTTCTTGTTGCCAGATAATACGGTAGAAAGACCACTAAATAATCCTGAGAAAGCATACCGAGAATTTCTTAACTTGCGGCACGGAAATGCCGAAATTCACGGAATCAGGGGGTCGCCAGATGATTGGCCTGGGGAAATTTCGAATTTCCGTAACTATTCCGTCCGCTTACTCACTCCGGGGTTTCATGTGAACTTTTCAGGGCTGAGAAAGAACACGAGGAGGTGCAGCTCGAGCGCGTGAGGCGCCAGATGCCGTCCCACTTCTTCTACGGTAGCGGCGGGAACGCGATTGGGGCGTATACTCCCGTAGGGTTGGCCTATAACCCGCTACGCATCGCTCCGCTGACGAATTGGGGCCGATAGAGGCTTGCTAGTCCCTTTAAAATGTATATATTATTTTTTTAAAGGGGTGGAAAAGCTTGGATTTTATTTCTTTTTCTTCTTGAACGTCTTTTTCCATTTTTTAGCTAAAAAGTTTCGAAAGGTTAGTTTTTTTCGTTTTAAGCTTCAATTTTCAATTCCTAAAGTTTCTCTGCTAGCCTGCCTTGCAGAAAAATTTGGCGTTAATGTTTGCGCAAAATTACCAAAGAAAAAAAACAGTAGCTAACAGGTGCAAAATTTGGGGAAAAGCTCAAAAGTTCAGCACTCCACCCGGAAGTCTGGGCTTTCATTAATGCGTCATTTTCCTAAATTTTCGAGGTTTCTACCCTAAGGTTGCCCGCTCCTTTAAAACATATTTTTTGCTCAAATTACCGTATCCCAAATCTTGCAAAAATTATTTATTTCTTTGAAATTGATCTTGGCTTCTGAAGCCCATACTTTAATTTTTTGTGACTTGATTGATGGCATTTTTCAGCTTTGTAATTTGTTTGTACTTTCTAAAACCGCAGTGTACGATGCATCATTACGTTTTATACAAATCACAATTAACCCTACTTCAAAAGATGTTATTTTACATATCCCGCCCAAATCTTTTTGATCTGATTTTTTCCTTTTTCTGGTCACACCATACTATCCCTCTACTTTTGTGGTTATTACATATCAATGTTCTTTTGGGCATTATTTGTACAGAATTTTTTTGGAATAAATCACATTTGTATTTTTATAGTACTTAGCCTCAATTAAATTGAAATTGGATTACATTAGAATCAGCGAAAAACGCCAATCCCGACATATTTAAACCGACAGCCAAAATCCCGACAGGCAAAATGCCGAAAGTCATAATGCCGACAACCGAAATCCTGGCAGCCAAACCCCACCATGCAAAATTGCTGTTAAAGAGGAAACGGCATTCAGCTAGCGTCAGGAAAATTTCGGGATTTTGTCCTGTCGGGATTATGATTGTCGGGATTTTTCTGGTCAGGATTAAGGCTGGAATCCCAAAGAATCTCTGCTAGTTTGCCAACAAACCCTTCAAAGCCCTTCAAAAAAATCTTTACGGAATCTCTGCTAGCTTGCCCCGTCCTCAAAGAATCTCTGCGGGCTTGCTCGGTCTTGAGAACCTATTTTTTTACATAACCTACAGTAACAGCTACTAATTAAAATCTTAACAGCTAAAATCTCAAATCTCTTAATAGCTATTAATTAAAAAAGGCTTGACCAAATCGGGTTTCTTCAGACAAAATAATAAAGTTACATTTTCGGAAGCGCGTTTTTCCCAATTTCCGCACCACCTGCCCCCGTCCATAGGCGACCAGCGTGATCTCTAGCGTTTTTTTTGGGTTACAGTTCAATTCATCGCCATTAAAAACGGTTAAAAATGCGACTTGTTTATTAATACGCGTAATGGCTGATCTTTGCTAGCTAGCCTCGAATCGAAACGATTTTCAACATATATTGTAATACGCAGTCTTTTTAGCTTTCATATAATTTTTCTAGGGTTTCTCTGAACGTTCGAATATTTCCGTTTTGTCCTCATGACGGGCAGTAGTGTGAAGTACGTCGGAATAATAAAAACGGCTCCAATCGCCAATTTCCTGAAATTGGCTAGAAAAAGTCATTTTAGCTGTTTTCGATAACAGGACCTTTTTATAGTTTTCTCTTGCTCTCTCTCGCTCTCGCTCTCTCTGTCGCTCTCTCTCTCGCTCTTTCTCTGGCTCTCTCTCCTTTTTTTATTGACCGAATGCAGAGCACGGGTCCTTTAACGCACAAAAATTGGGAAATAGCAATCAGAGACCAGAAAAAACTCGTTTAGGCCATTCCCTGGGGTGTTAAAGTGAAAACCGCGAATTTTTACATCTTTAAATTTGCACGCAGCCTAATTTAACGCGCATACGGTAGAACAGGAGAGATCAAATTTGCAGAGGTGTCTGGCTTTCTAAAGTCTGTCACCTTCCCGTCTATTTAACACTCCGCAAAGCACCTCTGCTAGCTTGCCGTTTACGGATTTCTGTAAGAACCTCTGCAAACCTGTCTCTCTCTCTCTCCCTGGCTAGAAGAGTGATGAAAAAACTCGGCGTTTTCAGAATATTTATCGGAAATGGCACTGAGTTGGCAGCAAATATTTGAGCTCGTCTCGGTGGTCATCTACATCTACGTAGAATACCGTATCTGGACATCAAAGAATCGTCTTTTCCACTCTCCATTCTACTCCATATTTTTGACAGTTGGTAAATGGTTTATTCAATTTTTATAATTATTTACGGATGGTGATTATTCTTTATCGATTTTCTGTCATTTATGCAAATTTTAGGAATTCTCGACATTCTCTATGCCCCTTTCAACGAGTTTAAGATCTTCTTTGGGTATTCTCCGCCGGCACGCACGATTTTGGGGATGATGACAAAGGTATGTAACGGATCGGGAGAGGTGGTAGGCTGGCAGAGATCATTTGCGTGATACGTATGTCCTTACCGATAATGTTACGATGCCTTTAAAACAGCGGCAAAAATCGGTAGTTTAGACATTACGCGACGGGCACTACTATCTACAAGTGGTCATGTCGACGAATCGGATGACAATTGTTTTATTTCCAACTACGCATAATCAGGTAGGGGAAGATATCCTTCACCTTATTAACGCATGACATACCTTCATTAACCGTACTCTGGCGTCTTGTATCGTAGCCTGGTATTGTATTGCGCCTTATGACTATCAGGTCTTGCGATCTTGTTTTTGCGTACTCAATCGTACTCCGCGTACTGCAGCGTAGTCTTTGTACTCTATCATACTGTAACTTACATAGCGAAGCCCGTACTGTAATGTGCCCTATAGCCCTGTAGTGTAGCCGTGCGTCCTGTAAAGTACTCTATACCACCGTGGCCTAGCGTTGCGTGCTGTAACGTACCCTAGCGTATACTTGCGTATTCCATCGTACGCTAGCCTTTTTGCGCTGTATCAGCTAGTAATCGATCCTTATTAAGCTATGGCGCCAAGAAAAAGTGCAAAAAGTGATCGTGTTCTGCTTGGTGCTGATGTGCGTCACCCAAATCTACACTCCGGTGATGATCATCATGTTTGGGTGGAAGGATGAGCAGATGAACTACCCCAATATTCGGGGTTTTGACCAGGTCCGCATTTTAAAGGGACTGAATTTAAAGGGAATTGAGGGCAAACTAGCTTTTAAACCTTTAAAAAAACCTTTAAAAACCAGGCAATTCCAGTGGAACCGCGCCTTCTACGCCGTGCAACTTCTAATTGCGGTCGGGGCATGCCTAATCATGAGCCTCATTACCCTGGGAAAGATACGGTAACCGGCTCATGCCAATATCAACCCGAACTCAGTTGTTTAAGGGGTCTCCAACCCCAATGGAGTCTGTTGGTCATCACCATTGTCGGCACCGTCATTTCGATTCCGCCTACCGTATACCAGGTACTGTAGGTTGGAGGGTAGTTTGTAGCTTAAAAAAACGTGGCATTTTTATGGCAGTAAAAGAATACGCTTTAAAGGAACGTACAAATTTAGACGCTGATGTCATTTGCGAGTTTTACCGGGAATGAGGGCCTCGAAAAGGCGGTTTATTCGGCGATGGTATGTTAAGCGACGCAGCGTACTTGAGAGTACGAGAGCGTAGTGTGGCGTACGTTAACGTGCAGTGTCTCACTCTTATGTACAGTGGCGAACTAACGCGTGCAGTGTCGTAGTTTTGCGTACGGTATCGTACTGAGTCTTACAGTATCGTCCTATTTCGTACCTTACCGTACCGCACCTCGTATGTATTGCGTCGTACCATAAGTATTGTAACGATGTCTTGTGTACTCTACCGTAGCTTATCGTGCTCTAGAGGAAATTTTAGAGCTGGTGGGTGTTTCTGGCACCCGGCTACTATCAGCCCTATTGGCTACTTATCGTTTCCGGCGATGCGAGAAGGGAGTGCTTTAGGATTCGAAGAGCTCCACGTGTAACAGTGAGTTAGAGAGAGAGAGAGAGAGAGCGAGAGAGAGAGAGTGAGTGAGTGAGAGAGAGAGCGAGAGAGTGAGAAAGAGGGAGAGAAAGAGAGCGAGAGAGAGAGAGAGAGAAAGAGAGAAAAGCCTAATTTTTTAACTGAACCTGAATTCCAGCACGATCCAACGGTCACCACTCGAATATCAACAGATCGATGGCCACGCGTTGGGTAGAAAAGTTCTCAAGATCTATGCAAATTTAGAATTGTGATATATTTGCTTATGGGTGCATTACCAAGGCAATAAATATTTATACATCATTTTTGTGCAATCTGTAAACATGGAATACAAGATTTAAGGTTTTTTTTCAAGAAGTTGCTAGCAACTTTCCCATCGGATGCTACCCAAAATCTGACGTCGCCAGGAGGGTCGGATTGCATCCAGGAATCCCAGGAAGTTGCAGGTGCAGGTTTTGGGGGTGTGTTAAAGGTACCGGGAGGCGAGTATCCAGGGGTTCTCTTTCTGTCCTCCTCTCTCTAGCTCTATCTCGCTATCTCTCTCTCTCTCCCTCCCTCTCTCTCGCTAATTTATTAGATTATTCTGTTCCAAATCTGAAAAGACCCAAATCCAATCTAGGATCCGGAATAACAATCTGGTTTTGTATTGCCGACCAAAGCTTGCGAAACAAAGCAAAAATAGCGGTTTTTTCCAAAATTCTCTGCAAAATCAAGGCAAGAAAATAAAATTTTATCGCTGTTTTGACTGCAATTTTCAGCCCTAAAAATCCGTGAGAATGCGTTGCTGTCATATATACTGGCCCCAGTAATGGAATTGAGGTGTTCTCTAGGTTTCTCGATTAGATTTCGGCGCAAAAAGTGTCCGAAAAATGGACGAAAAATGCGATTAAAATGGGTGGGATTAGGTGATCCCCGGTGCAGCCCCCTGCCCTTCTGCTGGATTCGAATTTCCGGATTCACATCCGTGGGAGGAGCGCCCCCCACCTGCAGGTAAGGGATATGCAAACTTTTTCTAGTTTCTGGTTGGAGAGCAAAAATAATGTCTTCGATATGTATGCTTCTCAAGCAATTAAATAAATAGATTTTAGCTCGTTGAAATTTCGACAAACTGAAGCTTCGGTAAAATGAGGTCTCGACAAAATAAAATCCTACTATATATAAAAAAATAGTGTCTGTGTGTGTGTGTGTGTGTGTGTGTGTGTGTGTGTGTGTGTGTGTGTGTGTGTGCATTTGCATGCAACTTCCGTCCCTATGTTCCAGTCGTATCTCGATAGGGGAAGAAGGGATGGGTACGTATGATACGTCATTAGGTGCGTAATGGTCATGACACGACTGCACACATATCAGATTTTAGAAAATAAGCTGTTTTCGACATTAAAATTCAGTTTTTCATGAAAAATCGGAGATCCTCTTTGTTAGGAATCAATTAGCATACACCGGAAGTGGAAGTAGCCTATATAATGGGAGAGAGGGGGAGATGCTTTGATTTTTTGACAAGGGAATTCGTGAGAAGTATGCAAAGGGTAGAATATCATCGGATCATACGGGACCAGGGTTGAAAAGTCGCGAAGCGGCTTTTCAACCCTGGTTTCTACTAAAAAAGAGGCCTGATCCAGTTGTAAACTGATCCAGTTGTCAACTGGCAGACATCTGGACAGCTAATTCAATTGGAGGAGCCAGCAGAATTTTTTCATGGGCCCTTACAAATAACGTCCGACGCCAGACTGGAGGGCGCGAATAACAAACCGCTTTTCAATGCTTGGTGCCAAGCTCATCAGATTTGTGTGTGATTTTTTTAATGCTAAGCCTAAGGTTAATCCTATACCTAAGCTAAACATAAGCTTAAGGCCCAGCCTAAGCCTTAACCTAAGCCTAAGCCTAACCCAAGCCTAAAACTAAACCTAGGCTAAGTCTAAGCCAAAGCCTTAGTCTGAGTCTTATCTAAACCTAAGCTAAGCCTAAGCTTAAACTGGGCTAAGCCCAGGCTTGATCCTAAGTCTATGCCTGACCCTAAACCTAACCCAGCCTAAGCCTAACCCAAGCCTAAGCCCAGGGAACAGCCCAAGCCAGCCAGGCCCAAAATTTGCTTTGTGGTTCATATCTTTACTTCAATTCTTTTCTTTTAGCAAAATCGGAGCGCCCGCTTTTTTGCAGACGTGTATTCATAGGAATGGTCGCGTAATTTATCAGCTATTCCGTGGGAACCCACAGAAAATAATGCAGACGGGTAATTGAGGCTAATGAATTAATGAAGCGCGTTCGGCTGAGCAGACTAGCAGAGATCATTTGGGAATTCGAGATGGGGGCAGCTAGCAGGGATCCTTTGGGAAATTTGGTAGGACAGCATAATTTTTTGAGGAATTCTAGCTATGAGGGCAGCATAGCAGAGATCATTTGGGAATTCAGAGCGATCCCTTGAGTATAATGGATTTACCCGCTGCGTCATTTTCGTCATTTCAAGTGGGGCGACTCATTTTCTTGGCTGATCAAATTTCGGGGCCCATTCAGGGGTGAAGCCGGGCCCAGATGCCAACAATGTTTAATTCTCTCTGTCTCCTGCTCTCTGTCTCTTGCTCTCTTTCTCTCGCTCTCTCTCTCGCTCTCGGTCTCTCTCTCTCTCTCTCGCAAAATTCGCTCCAACCCCACAGCTGCCCAAATATTACCCCCCGATTTGCGCCCTGGCAAGGGCTCTTGATTTTAGTTTTCAACCATTTTTGGTGTGCTGCTAGACTCCTTCTAATTTTTCAGAGTCTTAAAGGACCCAGCAAGCTGGAATTGCTACAATTACAGTAGTCTACAGAACCATCCTATTGTCCTGGGGTAGCCCTTTAAAACCGGCCCGGAAACCACCGGAAAACCCCAGGCAATCTTTGAGGTTGGGCCCGGCTCTTGGGTCCGAAAATCTGCCGGAAACTTCATCAAACCAAGGAGAGCTTGAAACACTAGAGAAAAAGGTGTGAAGATTTCTCTCTGTCGCTGTCTGTTTGTTTCTCTCTCTATCTCTCTCTCTCTCTCTCTCTCTCTATCTGAGTTCACAAGGGCCAAGAAGCACCAAATAGGGTCGCGAGCAAATAAAATAAATTTAGAAGTTGGGAGAGGTAGAGAGAGGGGGGGGGGGGGGGGGGAGAGAGAGAGAGAGAGAGAGAGAGAGAGTCGAAGCCGTGACAAAGTCGAAAAACGATGAAGCCTCCTGAGATCTCTTCGTCACTCAGAAGCGTTCCTCCGTAGATCAACGCCCGGGGGCCGCCAATTTCGCCGTTTTGCCTCTTGTCCACTGGATGGATGCGTCGCCGTGCAAATCCAAAAAGCGTTCCGCTGCATTCCTCTTTACATGGCTGCTGCCGGGGAGGGGGGCCATTAGACGCTGCTTGATCTCGTGATATTTATGGGTACGGTAGGGCTTCTCTCCCTTTTTCGAATTTGCTTCCAATTTTCTCAAAGAATCTCCGCGAGCTCGCACTTCCAATGCCTCAGGTTCTTTGCTAGCTTGCCCTGAAATCCTTGAAATTCCCTAAAGCCCCTGCTAGCAGGTCATTCCTCAATAATCTAGGCTAGCCTGCTCTACTCACATTCCTCAAAGGATATCTGCTAGCCTGCTCCTCCAATTTCTCAAGGAATCTTTGCTGGCTAGTAGCTACCATCCAACTCCTCAAAGAATCTCTGCTAGCCCGCCTAATAATTTTCCAATCTCTCTCTCGCTCTCCCTCCCCCTTGCTATCCATCCTCTCTCCCTCTCTCTCTCTCTCTCTCTCTCTCCCCTCTCTTTCTCTGCCTATCGGTGCTCTCTCTCCTCTCTCTCATTTAATCCTGCAGCATCTGCCCTTTCCCCTCAAGAAGTTCGATTGAATTTCGTCCGCGTCACCATCCTTCCGCATTTTGGGGTGGGGGTGGCGGAAAAATAGAAAAAAGCTATAAACTGCTTGGCGGGCCAACAAATTCCCTTGTGATGTCCCGCACCAAAACAACGCGCGGAATTTGAGGCCCACGCATCCTGGTAAAGCTTTCGAAAATTGAAATTTTTTAGGTAATTCTGGGGCGCAACTTTTTGCGGGGGCTGCCCTTAAGAAAGCTTTTGGACCAACGTCGCTGATTTTAATGGATTATCTATACGCATTAAAGCTGTGCTTGAACGTGTCACGGATGCGTTACGGTTGCGTTACGCTCATATCGTGGTCGCATCACGGTTGCGTTACCGTTGCGTTAGGGTCGCTTACGGTCGCGTAACGGTCGCGTTATAGTTGCGTTACGGTCGAGTTAAAACCGCATTTCGGTCGTGTCGCGTTGCGGTCACATCAGGTCGCGGTATAGTAAGGTTGCGCCGCGTGTACAGTAACATGCCGCCACCAAGCCGCGCGGCTTGGCCGACTTCCGGCCTCAAAACAGAAAAGTCAAAGGCAATCGGCGCATCGGAAGTGCCGGCCGATTGCCATCTTAGGTATTACAGTCGCTTCACGACTCTCTATGGTAGTATTAGGGTCGCGTCACGCTTGCGTTGCGTCAGGGCATCCCTCTCATTATATCAGTTTGGTGGCGGTGTTGAACGATCCATTCTGACGTTCGACGGCTGCTGATTTCAGCTAAAGCAACTCCCTACCTTGCATAACCCTTCAGACCCGGAAAAATCCGGGTGAACCTGAAGCAACTGTTAGAACAACTAACCGCTTGAGCCCCCGCTAAAGGCCCATAAATCGGGGCCCTTTGGAACATGGGCCCCGGCCTATGGGCCCAGCCATCCTAACAAAAATCACGTGGGGCCACCGGTTTAGGGTTAAGTACATACAGGTGAGAGGAAGAGAGTGCGACTCAAGGAATAGACGATGCCATTTAAGCCCATGCTCCCTCCCGAAATTTCAATCAAGTAGCATTCTCCCCTTCCGCCCACCGCGGGTAAACATGGCCCTCCTCAAAATAATACTGTGGTTTAGTTAGGGGCTGGGGGATTAGTTAGACTTTAGTGGGAAATTTTAGGGAGCTACGCTCAAGGGATTGACAATAGACTTGCGTACATGCATCTACTCTCACTCTCGCTCGCCCTCTCTCTCTTCTCTCTCTTTACCCTCTCACGCTTTCTCTCTGTCTGTCTGTGCGCTCTCTCTCCCTCTCTCGCTCTCCTCTCTCTCTCTACATGAGTTTGGCTTTGATCAAGGCAAGATCGAGAAAGAGAAAGATAGAGAGAGAGGAGTGAGTGAGAGTGAAAGAGAGAGAGAGACGACGAGACAGAGAGAGCAAGAGAGCGAGCGAGCGAGGACAGAGAGAGCGAGAGAGAGTAAGTAGAGTGAGGAGGGGGCCGAGAGGAAGGCGAGGTCTAGCGGATGATGCTAATTTCCATTGGTATACTGTAGCCAAAGCAATAACTCCACCAACCCTTGCCTTTCCATTCTCTTTAATCATGCCTTATTTTCATTTTTCCCACCACTTGTTGATCTTGGCGTCAAGCTCAGCCCGTGGGTCCCTTTCCCTTGTTTCCAGTTCTGTTATATGAGCTGTGGCTGGAGCGAAGGGGCCTTCCTGCTTCTCCTCCTCTCCCCCTCATTCTCCTTCTCCCCATCCACCCCCCTCCGTTCCCAAAATGGTCCTCGTCGCGCGCCCTGGCTGGCGGCTCATTTTCCTTCATTGTGCCGGCCATTTCGTCTCAGCGCCTTGTGCTGGGGGTCTGGACGGACGACATGGCTTTTCGGATCTTTGGGGGACTGGAAACAAAATGGGTGATATTTGGAGGGGATGAGGTGTTTATAAAGAGAATCTCTGCTAGCCTACCGTAGGCAAATGACGTTCCCCAAAGATCTCTGCTAGAATGCCCAGATCCTAGCCCAGTCTCACTCTTCTTGAAGAATCTCTGCTAGCTTGCCACCGACGGGACGCTATGCTAATCATCATGTAGCTCCGCTATCAGTAATAAGGTAGCCCTAGCTAGCCTGCCCGTCCCTTAAAATCTCTGCTAGCTTGCCATTCCCCGAAACTCGCTGGACAAATTAGCTGATTCCTAAAGAAACCCTGTTAGCTTACCCCCACCTTGAACAGAAATAATATGTAAAAATGGATCTCCTCGACCTATTTCCTAAAGAACATCTGCTAGCTGCCTGATGGCTTCTGAGAACCTCTAATTTTCTGAAAAATCACTGCTAGCCTACCCAGCCCAAAAAATGTAAACGCTTCCTCAAGCATTTCTCCGGTTGACCCTCACCTGGTGACGTAGTTCAGGTTCCCAAAGAATCTCCTTTCTGGGTGATATATATCCTCCCTTATATAATTTTGGCGTGTATCTTTGTGGCTGTGTGGATGTCGTTTCAGACCCGGTTGAAGACCTTCCGTGTCAAACGTCCCAATTCTGCGTCACTTGGGGGAATCTGACCACTTCTGTTTCCGATAGCGTCTTCAAATTTCGATAAATACAAGTTTACAAAAGTTAAAGCCGGTTTTACTAATTTTGGAGTCTAGGGATAATTTGCAAATGTGAAATAGAAATTTCCCAAAGCACCTCTGCTAGCTTGCCGTTTCCAGTTTCGTAAGAACCTCTGCAAACCTGTCTCTCTCTCTCTCCCTGGCTGAGAGTGATCAAAAAACTCGGCGTTCCCAGAATATTTTAGCAAAGAATGACACTGAGTTGGCAGCAAATATTTGAAGCTCGTCTCGGTGGTCATCCCCATCTACGTAGAATACCGTATCTGGACATCAAAAAATCGTCTTTTCCACTCTCCATTTCCCTCTATTTTTTTGACGGTTGGTAAATGGTTTATTCAATTTTATAATTATTTACGGATGGTGATTATTCTTTTTATCGATTTTCTGTCATTTAGCACACAAATTTTAGAATTCTCGACATTCTCTATGCCCCTTTCCACGAGTTTAAGATCTTCTTTGGGTATTCTCCACCAGCACGCACGATTTTGGGGATGATGACAAAGGTATGTAACGGATCACGGAGGTGGTAGGCTGTAGAGATGTTGCGTATTTTGTATGTCGCTCCCGATAATGTTGCGATGCCTTTTTTAAAACAGCGGCAAAAATCAAGTGCGGTTTAGACATTACGCGACGGGCACACACTATCCACAAGTCGTAATCAGGCAGATCCGGATGACAATTGTTTGGCTTCGAACTACGCATAATCAGGCGGGGAAGATATCGCTTCACCTTATTAACGCATGACATACCTTCATTAACCGTACTCTGGCGTCTTGTATCGGCCTGGTATTGTGTTACGCCTTATGACTATCAGGTCTTGCCATCTTGTTTTTTGCGTACTCAATCGTACTCCGCGTACTGCAGCGTAGTCTTGTGTACTCTATCATACTGTAACACTTATCGGACCCTTGCGTACTGTAATGTGCCCTATAGCCCTGTAGTGTAGCCGTGCGTCCTGTAAAGTACTCTATACCACCGTAGCCCTGGCGATTGCGTGCTGTAACGTACCCTAGCGTGTTCTTGCGTATTCCATCGTACGCTATGCCCTCTGCGCGCAGTATCAGCTAGTAATCGATCCTTCTTAAGCTATGGCGCCAGGAAGGGTACGAAAAGTGATCGTGTTCTGCTTAGTTGCTGATGTGCACCCAAATCCTACCTCCGGTGATGATCATCATGTTCGGGTGGAAGGATGAGCGGATGAATTACCCCAATATTCAGGGATTTGACCAGGTCCGCCTTTTAAAGGGACCGGATTTCAAGGGGTCCGCGCAACAAGGTGTACGAAACCCCGGCTGAAAAAATACCTTTAAAAAACCAGTCAGTTCAGTGGAACCGCGCCTTCTACACGTGCAACTTCTAATTGCGGTCGGGGCATGCTAATCTTGAGCCTCATTACCCTGGGAAAGATATGCGGTAACCGGCTCCATGCCAATATCAACCTGAACTCAGTTGTTTGGGGAGTCTCCAACCCCAATGGAAGTCTGTTGGTCATCACCATTGTCGGCACCGTCATTTCGATTCCGCCCACCGTATACCAGGTACTGTAGGTTGGAGTTAGTTTGTAGCTTAAAAAATGTGGCATTTTATGGCAGTAAAGAATACGCTTTAAAGGAACGTACAAATTTAGACGCTGATGTCATTTGCGAGTTTTACCGGGAATGAGGGCCTCGAAAGGCGGTTTATTCGGCGATGGTATGTTAAGCGACGCAGCGTACTTGAGAGTACGGGAGGAGCGTAGTGTGGCGTACGTTAGCGTGCAGTGTCTCACTCTTATGTACAGTGGCGAACTAACGCGTGCAGTGTCGTAGTTTTGCGTACGGTATCGTACTGAGTCTTACAGTATCGTCCTATTTCGTACCTTACCGTACCGTTCCTAGTACGTATTGTGTCGTACCATAAGTATTGTAACGATGTCTTGTGTACTCTACCGTAGCTTATCGTGCTCTAGAGGAAATTTTAGAGCTGGTGGGTGTTTCTGGCACCCGGCTACTATCAGCCCTATTGGCTACTTATCGTTTCCGGCGATGCGAGAAGGGAGTGCTTTAGGATTCGAAGAGCTCCACGTGTAACAGTGAGTTAGAGAGAGAGAGAGAGAGCGAGAGAGAGAGAGAGTGAGTGAGAGAGAGAGCGAGAGAAAAGCCTAATTTTTTAACTGAATCTGAATTCCAGCACGATCCAACGGTCACCACTCGAATATCAACAGATCGATGGCCACGCGTTGGGTAGAAAAGTTCTCAAGATCTATGCAAATTTAGAATTGTGATATATTTGCTTATGGGTGCATTACCAAGGCAATAAATATTTATACATCATTTTTGTGCAATCTGTAAACATGGAATACAAGATTTAAGGTTTTTTTTTCAAGAAGTTGCTAGCAACTTTCCCATCGGATGCTACCCAAAATCTGACGTCGCCAGGAGGGTCGGATTGCATCCAGGAATCCCAGGAAGTTGCAGGTGCAGGTTTTGGGGGTGTGTTAAAGGTACCGGGAGGCGAGTATCCAGGGGTTCTCTTTCTGTCCTCTCTCTCTCTCTAGCTCTCTCTATCTCTCTCTCTCTCCCTCCCTCTCTCTCGCTAATTTATTAGGGATTATTCTGTTCCAAATCTGAAAAGACCCAAATCCAATCTAGGAGCCGGAATAACAATCTGGTTTTGTATTGCCGACCAAAGCTTGCGAAACAAAGCAAAAATAGCGGTTTTTTCCAAAATTCTCTGCAAAATCAAGGCAAGAAAATAAAATTTTATCGCTGTTTTGACTGCAATTTCCAGCCCTAAAAATCCGTGAGAATGCGTTGCTGTCATATATACTGGCCCCAGTAATGGAATTGAGGTGTTCTCTAGGTTTCTCGATTAGATTTCGGCGCAAAAAGTGTCCGAAAAATGGACGAAAAATGCGATTAAAATGGGTGGGATTAGGTGATCCCCGGTGCAGCCCACTGCCCTTCTGCTGGATTCGAATTTCCGGATTCACATCCGTGGGAGGGGCGCCCCCACCTGCAGGTAAGGGATATGCAAACTTTTTTCTAGTTTCTGGTTGGAGAGCAAAAATAATGTCTTCGATATGTATGCTTCTCAAGCAATTAAATAAATAGATTTTAGCTCGTTGAAATTTCGACAAACTGAAGCTTCGGTAAAATGAGGTCTCGACAAAATAAAATCCTACTATATATAAAAATAGTGTCTGGGTGGTGTGTGTGTGTGTGTGTGTGTGTGTGTGTGTGTGTGTGTGCAGCATGCAACTTCCGTCCCTATGTTCCAGTCGTATCTCGATAGGGAAGAAGGGATGGGTACGTATGATACGTCATTAGGTGCGTAATGGTCATGACACGACTGCACACATATCAGATTTTAGAAAATAAGCTGTTTTCGACATTAAAATTCAGTTTTTCATGAAAAATCGGAGATCCTCTTTGTTAGGAATCAATTAGCATACACCGGAAGTGGAAGTAGCCATAAAGGGAGGGGAGATGCTTTGATTTTTTGACAAGGGAATTCGTGAGAAGTATGCAAAGGGTAGAATATCATCGGACATAGGACCAGGGTTGAAAAGCGCAAGCGGCTTTCAACCCTGGTTTCTACTAAAAAAGAGGCCTGATCCAGTTGTAAACTGATCCAGTTGTCAACTGGCAGACATCTGGACAGCTAATTCAATTGGAGGGAGCCAGCAGAATTTTTTCATGGGCCCTTACAAATAACGTCCGACGCCAGACTGGAGGGCGCGAATAACAAAACCGCTTTTCAATGCTTTTGCCAAGCTCATCAGATTTGTGTGTGATTTTTTTAATGCTAAGCCTAAGGTTAATCCTATACCTAAGCTAAACATAAGCTTAAGGCCCAGCCTAAGCCTTAACCTAAGCCTAAGCCTAACCCAAGCCTAAAACTAAACCTAGGCTAAGTCTAAGCCAAAGCCTTAGTCTGAGTCTTATCTAAACCTAAGCTAAGCCTAAGCTTAAACTGGGCTAAGCCCAGGCTTGATCCTAAGTCTATGCCTGACCCTAAACCTAACCCAGCCTAAGCCTAACCCAAGCCTAAGCCCAGGGAACAGCCCAAGCCAGCCAGGCCCAAAATTTGCTTTGTGGTTCATATCTTTACTTCAATTCTTTTCTTTTAGCAAAATCGGAGCGCCCGCTTTTTGCAGACGTGTATTCATAGGAATGGTCGCGTAATTTATCAGCTATTCCGTGGGAACCCACAGAAAATAATGCAGACGGGTAATTGAGGCTAATGAATTAATGAAGCGCGTTCGGCTGAGCAGACTAGCAGAGATCATTTGGGAATTCGAGATGGGGGCAGCTAGCAGGGATCCTTTGGGAAATTTGGTAGGACAGCATAAGTTTTTGAGGAATTATAGCTATGAGGGCAGCATAGCAGAGATCATTTGGGAATTCAGAGCGATCCCTTGAGTATAATGGATTTACCCGCTGCGTCATTTTCGTCATTTCAAGTGGGGCGACTCATTTTCTTGGCTGATCAAATTTCGGGGCCCATTCAGGGGTGAAGCCGGGCCCAGATGCCAACAATGTTTAATTCTCTCTGTCTCCTGCTCTCTGTCTCTTGCTCTCTTTCTCTCGCTCTCTCTCTCGCTCTCGGTCTCTCTCTTTCTCTCTCGCAAAATTCGCGCTCCAACCCCACAGCTGCCCAAATATTACCCCCGGATTTGCGCCCTGGCAGGGGCTCTTGATTTTAATTTTCAACCATTTTTGGGTGCTGCTAGACTCTTTTCTAATTTTTCAGAGTCTTAAAGGACCCAGCAAGCTGGAAGCTACAATTACAGTAGTCTACAAACCATCACTATTGTCTTAGACCCTTTAAAACCGGCCCCGGAAACCACCGGAAAACCCCGCGGCAATCTTTGAGGTTGGGCCCGGCTCTTGGGTCCGAAAATCTCCCGGAAACTTCATCAAACCAGGGAGGCTTGAAACACTGAGAAAAAGGTGTGAAGATTTCTCTCTGTCGCTGTCTGTTTGTTTCTCTCTCTATCTCTCTCTTCTCTCTCTCTCTCTCTCTCTATCTGAGTTCACAAGGGCCAAGAAGCACCAAATAGGGTCGCGAGCAAATAAAATAAATTTAGAAGTTGGGAGAGGTAGAGAAAGAGAGAGAGAGAGAGAGAGAGAGAGAGAGAGAGTCGAAAGCCGTGACAAAGTCGAGAAAAACGATGAAGCCTCCTGAGATCTCTTCGTCACTCAGAAGCGTTCCTCCCGTAGATCAACGCCCGGGGGCCGCCAATTTCGCCGTTTTTGCCTCTTGTCCACTGGATGGATGCGTCGCCGTGCAAATCCAAAAAAGCGTTCCGCTGCATTCCTCTTTACATGGCTGCTGCCGGGGAGGGGGGCCATTAGACGCTGCTTGATCTCGTGATATTTATGGGTACGGTGGGGCTTCTCTCCCTTTTTCGGAATTTGCTTCCAATTTCCTCAAAGAATCTCCGCTAGCTCCCACTTCCAATTCCTCAAGTTCTTTGCTAGCTTGCCTTGAAATCCTTGAAATTCCCTAAAGCCCCTGCCAGCAGGTCATTCCTCAATAATCTAGGCTAGCCTGCTCTACTCACATTCCTCAAAGAATATCTGCTAGCCTGCTCCTCCAATTTCTCAAGGAATCTTTGCTGGCTAGTAGCTACCATCCAACTCCTCAAAGAATCTCTGCTAGCCCGCCTAATAATTTTCCAATCTCTCTCTCGCTCTCCCTCCCCCTTGCTATCCATCCTCTCTCTCCTCTCTCTCTCTCTCTCTCTCTCTCTCCCTCTCTTTCTCTGCCTATCGGTGTCTCTCTCTCCTCTCTCTCATTTAATCCTGCAGCATCTGCCCTTTCCCCTCAAGAAGTTCATTGAATTTCGTCCGCGTCACCATCCTTCCGCATTTTGGGGTGGGGGTGGCGGAAAAATAGAAAAAGCTATAAACTGCTTGGCGGACCAACAAATTCCCTTGTGATGTCCCGCACCAAAACAACGCCCGGAATTTGAGGCCCACGCATCCTGGTAAAGCTTTCGAAAATTGAATTTTTTTAGGTAATTCTGGGGCGCAACTTTTTGCGGGGGCTGCCCTTAAGAAAGCTTTTTGGACCAACGTCGCTGATTTTAATGGATTATCTATACGCATTAAAGCTGTGCTTGAACGTGTCACGGATGCGTTACGGTTGCGTTACGCTCATATCGTGGTCGCATCACGGTTGCGTTACCGTTGCGTTAGGGTCGCATTACGGTCGCGTAACGGTCGCGTTATAGTTGCGTTACG